AAAAAAAAAACTTAACAAAATAACTTTTTTCCTCCACCGTGCATTTCATAAGCTAAGCGGTGGAAGGGCTGACCGCATTTATTTTATGACCAGCTTGTGAGAGGTAAATATAATGGACAACAGTAAAATTACCTTTACTACTACTAGGCTGAACTGTGTAGATACAGTATTACTGGTACTGATGCTCTGTCTAGTCAGCAAATGGTATATCCTGTAGTTTGTGATTATACAGTATATCAGAGTAAAAAAAAAAACTTAACAAAATAACTTTTTTCCTCCACCGTGCATTTCATAAGCTAAGCGGTGGAAGGGCTGACCGCATTTATTTTATGACCAGCTGGAGGAATTTGTCTTAACTTCAGCGCAAATGAAGAACCAGGAAACAAATGCAAAATTAGAATTATRTTAAATTTGCATTGAAACTCTACCGTTTTGTTGACATGACTCAATGCATAGCAATGGCACCTGTGCGGTGCACAATAAGTCACGTGATGTCCAATCCAGTAATATAGATAAATGATTGTGCCAAACTTTGGCCCAATTTTGCCCTTCTGACAATTAAGCATGCTCCGAGTATCATGATGGCAATAAAGTTAATCTTATGAGGCGGCTGTGGCACAGTGGTTAGGGGAGCCATCCTGTAACCTGTGGGTTGCCAGTTCAATCCCCTGTCTCAGTTGTTGTGTCCTTGGGCAAGACACTTCATCCACCTTGCCTACTGATGGTGGTCGGAGGGTCCAGTGGTGCTGGTGCATGGCAGCTTTGACTCTGTCAATCTGTCCCAAGACAGCTGTGGCTGCAGTGTAGCTTACCATCATCAGTGTGTGAATGGGTGAATGTCTGTAGTGTGCTTGGAGTCCGACGGGACTTGATAAAGCACTATATAAGTTCAGTCCATTTACTGTTACAATTTATGAAATATCCCAGCATGTGTGGTGTTCCCTGAGGAAAAACAAGCTCATAGCCTGCTGAATGTGACATGTAGCCATGCTAGGGTTGGGCATAATCGTATTGTGTGCAATTAATCATCAGAAAAAAAATTAATCGATTATTTTCTGGCACTTGACGATTAATACGATTAATGCCACCAGTCAGTCCACTCGGTACTCCTCTCCGCTTCAAATATGACGAACATTAAAAAAAAAAAAGTTCTGTAATTTATTTATCTATCAACACGAAAATTTGATGTATAGCCTGAAGTCTGTAATTTTGATACAGTTTGGAACAGATTTTTACAAAGAGCAAATCTTTCCTACTACATTGGTCATGTGACCAGGACATAACGGTGTCCAGGGACTCCAGGGGATTAATCGTCAAATTAATCGTTATTGGCCAAATACCACAATTAATCGTGATTAATTTGTTTGCCAATGATGAAAACAAGGTGACGGAAACATGGAGAATTCAAAATACAGAAGAAAAAATCCCCATGGCACAGGCTCACTAGATAGTCTAATGAATGTTGGTGATTTGTTTTTGTTTTGTTTAATTTTTTAATAATAGTCCACAAACTATTGCCTTTGCCTCTTTCTCGTATGTCTTGTTTATTTACTTTGAACTCACATTTGATCTTGAGAGGTCTTTCGAGATTTCTTAGACATCTGAATGTTCATGTGTGGTGCGTTGTCTTTAGTTGTCATTTGTGTGGCACTACACCACACACTGGAGGACCAAGCTTGTTATATCTTTGACTATTTGTTATTATAATGTGTGGGGTCTTTCAGTCTTTGAAGATCAATTGACAATTTTAAAATATTGCTTTGCGTTAGTTAGTCAAAGATTTAAAATCAGCTTTTTTCTTATAAAAACATAACATAAAAGCCTTAACAGCAAATTTAAAATGAGAGATGCTATTTAAACATTTATTGCTTTGTCTACAGGGTTGGCACAAAGTGTTTCTACTATATTACAGAGGTGGTCTAAAACACTAAAGAACACTTTTTTGTTGTTTTAACAGTCTCTAGCGATGCCACGAGCCCAGTAGTTATCATTGCACCACCTCAGAATGCTACAGTCATGCTTGGCCACCCTGCTGTGATGGAGTGTATGGCACAAGGTCAACCAAAACCACTGGTGTCCTGGAGCAGACAAGGTAAACCTCACAAAGACTCTCGCTTGCTTTGTTTTCTCCCACTTTATTTCACATTAGTTATCAATTTTAATTAATCTGTTACGATTTCATAGTATACAATATGTGTCTTGGTTTTACAGATGTGCAGTTGTCGAAATGTTTTCTTCTGTAGGTTTTTTGGTTTGTTTATTTGCTAAAAAAGATTTATTTCCACATCAACATGCACACACTATTCTGTCCTCATCAATGGAAATTACACCATTTCAAAACAGAACGTCCCCTGTCATGCTGTGATTTCTCCAGTCTTGTCCTGCTTCACAAGTTTTCTCTCATTTACATTTTTCTTTACATTAAGCCTCCGAAAAAACACTTTTAGATGTAGAAATTTATGTTTTCTATCACCTAATCTGTATTTCAGTATTAGTCTGAGCTTGATTATTTTGCAGATGCATTTAACTAGCATGTCTAAAAATATATTTCTGCACAATGGTTGACAAAATATACAGAACCATATTTATTTTACCAATGGATAAATCTGTGAATACCAATAGCTTTTCTCACCCAATAAAGTGTTTGAACTAAGACTGAAAAGTCATAGAGCCACCTGTTGGTTAGTTGGTAAAAAAAGTCACTGATGATGAAGAAACTAGGAAACTAATATTCAGTTCTGCTTTCTACTAAAGCGGCTATAAAAGAAAAGGACTGAAAAGTCAGTTGGTAAGATTACACATCAAACCTTTGACTCTCCAGGTGCATTTTTCTTTCCTTCTGTTTGTCAGACTGAAAGACTGAGAAATGATCTCTCCCTCTTTCAAGGCCAGTCACATTTTTTGCCACCTGCTAGATCTAATGCTGGATTCTGCTACTTTATGTTGCTTTTTCCTTTGATCAGACGGCAAGCCCATTTCCACTGATGTGGTCGTCCTCGCTACAAACCTGGTGATCAGGGACACAAGGCGTCACCATGCTGGCGTCTATGTCTGCCGAGCCAACAAGCCCAGGACCAGAGAGTTTGTTACTGGTGCTGCTGAGCTGCATGTGCTTGGTAAGATTAATTAATGACATTTAGAATAGCATTAACATTAGCAATAAAATTTATAAAGCCATTTCTTAGATCTGTATTGAGGATGGTGTGAAAATGGTTAAATGGGGACAGACTGACATTCAGAATGTTCTCTGAAGCTTAKTTTTGTTCAAGCAAAAATTTTGCTTCCTTCTACCCTTAGCCCCKCCAGTGATTCTTCAGCCTCCAGAGTCAGTGTCCCTCTCCCGAGGGAATACAGCCCGATTTCTGTGCAACATCTCAGGGGAACCTCCTCCTGTGCTKCGCTGGCTGAAGAATGGCCAGCTTGTCAAGTCCCTCAGAAGGGTGAAAATGCAAAGTCCCGGAGTGATGCTCATCAATCAGCTGGCTCTGGAGGATTCAGGCTACTATCAGTGCATAGCTGAGAATAAGCTGGGCACAGCCTGCGCCACTGCCAATCTAACRGTCATTGTACGGGAGGGTCTGCCCAGCCCCCCGCGCCACCTGTCCGCAACACCCTACTCCAGCACCACYGCCCTGCTCACCTGGGAGAAGCCTGAGTACAACTTGGATCAAATCATCGCCTACTCTGTGCACTTTCAACGCACGGCAGGTGGGTCTCCTTCAAAAGTAAGTGCTGTGGTCATAAAGTGTGAAAGTCCAAAAGTACGGAGTCCGCGAGGGGACATGGGTGGATTTTTTTTTATTTTGCGTTCCCACGCAATACTATTGTGTTACCTCACAATATCTTTGCGTTATCTCGCAAAACTTTTTGTGTTACCTCGCAAACGTTTGCATTCCCTTGCAAAATTGTTTTGCATATGAACTGAATTAAATCAGACTTTTATTTTGAAATATCTGGTTACCAACACAGGATGTGTCGCCACAAGTTCGTGAAATCGACATTGATGTTGCGTGGCTGTACTATGTTAAAATATCGGCATATGACATACTTCCATGCGTGGCTGAGTGATATATTCATTCTGAAGCTGAATTAAAGCAGTAGGCTAACTCGCTAATGGTGAACATGTGAATGTGTTAATAAACCGACAGGCAACACAGTGATAAATGACTTTTGTGATGGAACACAAAAGGTATTGTGAGGTAACACAATACTATTGCATGGGAACGCAAAAAAAAAAATCTCCCATGTCACCTTGCGGGCTCCCTACAAAAGAATATAGTTAAGATGAATATTTGTGCCTGTTTTTAGGTTTGGACAATGTGGAGGATCGGTTTGCTGTGAACAATGACACAACGGAGTATCTCTTCAAAGAGCTTCTCCCCCATACTGCCTACACATTCTTTGTTGTGGCCTATTCTGCCATGGGAGCTAGTCCCCCTTCCCTGCCTGTCACTGTGGAGATGCTGGAGGACGGTGAGTGATCAAACATCTTCAAAAGTAATTAAATGCGCCTAACATGGGGAAAAAATAAGACCAACTTGGGACTTGACCAAAAATGATCACCGCCATCATGGTCCTTTGAAAATGATTGGAAATAACTCTCTGATTCTATTTTTGTCTGACATTCTTTTTTTAAATTTTGCAWTGCCTGTGGCAGTTTCTTTTTGTGAAATAAAATGTTTCAAAAGTTTGACTGAAAAAGAAATTGTTACAGTTTCTGTGTTGCATTCTACTGTCAACACCAGTCTGATTAGTATGCTCTGATTTTTCTCCTTCCCACAGTGCCAAGCGTGCCACCTCAGCTGACTATAGCTAGTACATCCCCCACCGACATCAGGCTGACGTGGCATCCACTGTCCTCACAGAACAGTCGAGGAGCTGTTACCCGCTACCGCATTGATTACAGCACCTTGGATCGGGGTGTGTAACAAAATAATCATTTTTGTAGCACTTCAGTTCTGTGCTGCATTGGAAAAGGTCAATACCAGTTATATAAAGCTATTGTGTCAAAGGCTCCTTGTTTTATATCACATTTGTGTTGATTATAATCATTAATGTTATTCATTTTACATTTGTTTTTCCCTAATAAGTATAAGTAGATCTTGCTGAAAGTATTATTATGATTTAATGCAGTAAGAGCACAGTGTTGTTACAAATGACATCCTCAACTCCCCATTTTAAGCTAATGGCAGCTTCACTGAAAAAGCCTCCACAATACCAGAGGGGGAAAAAAGAGATTTCCATACAAATATGTGCACAATGTGTGTGTTTTCTAGTGAGCACTCTATTCTCAGTGGAGGTGAGAGGAAACGAGACTCAGTTTACCCTGAGAGAGCTGCAGCCAAACCAGATGTATCGTCTGAGGATAGCAGCTGGAACCGGTGTTGGCTTTGGTATTCCCTCTGAGTGGATCCAACACAGAACATTAGCCCACTCCAACAACACTGACCAAAGCATGGGTAAGAATACCACTAGGGCACTGTCAGGTGCTGTATTTTTATCCTTATTGAATGTCTGTATTTATCCAGGACTTCCTATGGTTGTGAAATAAGACTTAATGTCAAAACCCACATTTAGGAGCATCTTTTAAACCTTAAATCTCCTTACGTTTATTGTGTGAAAAAAAGTTTGGATTAATTTACTAGATTCAAAATTAAACATAACTTTTAAAAAAACATTTATTATTTGTTTCTCTCTTCTCACTAAAGTTACAATTAATTATATGGTCAGCTGTGCCAACATGATAAAAAAACATGGCTTTTTTACTCGATGTGCTAATATAGCACATTGTAAAAACAAACTTAGTTGTTCACATTGGCTGTGTCCAAAACGGCAGGACGGGTCCTCCGAAGGTCGAATTTTTTCGGCCACATACGTCACAGCGCTGCGACGAAGGACATCCAAAACCGAAGACTCCTCCGATGTGGCCGACAAATACGTCCTTCCTTTGGCCCGAATCGAAGGACAGGTCTGATGGATCATTCCCGGACCAGCATATCCCATAATGCATCGCGGCCCGACCGGAGATTTTTTTATGCTAGTAATGGTGGACGAAGCGAGAGAAAAGAATACGTTTTAAATAAAAATATGGTGATTTAAAAATTAAAAAAATTTAGCGGTTGTAATTCTATACTTTTATCATTTGTATAGACATGTTTTTAAATATTATTTTTTCGTCATAAAAACGTGAAATAAACATGCAGCTACAGCGGGTCAATTAGTTCTTCAAATGCTACTTTTAAGTTAATTTATTGTTTTGTGATATTAATAATGCTAATGTATTGACATTTTTCTAGTTTTGATTTAAGTTTGCTTGTTTAGCGTCGTCACAGTTGCTAGGTGACAAGACGTACGGCGGGGTAAGGAGGGGAGGCTAGACCGTCCAAATCCACAGCCTCTTTTTTTCCGGTCTTCCTGGTCTACAGGACCTGGCCCGCCTCGACCGGGTAGTCTGGGTCCTCCGGAGGACCCGGCCTGTCGTTTTGGACACAGCCATTACTTAGCTTTGAGGCAAGCTCTTCTTGGAAATTAGCCGCCAAGGTTTCAGAACCTTTTCTTTAGAATTACTTCAAATAATATTGCTAAATCAGCTTCAGCAGAACCAGACTGTCACAGAACTTTCAGCTTTCAGAATTTTTGAAGCAGTAAATGTGTTTTCTCATTGGGATCTTGGGATCTTTGTTTATTTTCTCAAAAACTGAAATCCATTTTTCTCCAAACTTTCAACGCTCAAATTATAACAGAAAAAAATGCAGTTTGAAAGATATTAATGCAGTCAGCTGGACTGGGTGTSTGGTGAAAAGTGTTGGTTAGTTACAATATAAATAGTGTAGCTGGGATATTTGAACTTTTTTTCTTCCTCTTTGAATATCTTTATTTTAGTGATTTTTGCTCCTACTGAGCTGAAAGTACGACCCAAATCGAACACGCTTAATGTGACATGGCAGCCCTCGCCGAATCACACACTGGTCTCTGGTTACAAGCTGTCCTATCAAGAAGCAGAGGCCGATGAGTCCTCCAGTGGAAAGAGGACGACACATACTCACACTATCAAACTCCGTAAGAAAGCCAGGCACCATCTGCTCACTGGGCTTGGTAAGTTGTTGGCAGAGTACTATCCAAGTAAACCTGCCAACACATTTTTTAAGTTTGTTTGCACCTCTAAAGCATAACTAGGTTTTATTTGTTTGAGTTGAAAGCATTTGGTTGAAGAGCTAAGGCCATATTTTAAATTTACTGTACATAAATTGCAAAGAGACCCTAACAGTCTCATTGYGTTTTGTTTGTTTCAGTTCCTGACAGGCAGTATGAGGTGAAGGTTTGGGCATTCAACAAGCAGGTAGATGGAGCTGCTGCAGTGTGGAAAGGAAGGACTGACAAGGCTCATAACAGGCGTAAGACTTTTGCAGGCCAATGAACATGTTATATTAATAAAATGTTGACCTGAATGTTGTAATACTGATGGAAAATAATGTGTATTTTTATGTGACAGCTTCACCGAATCCCTCACACCCCCCTCCATGGCCTCCCAGCAACATACACGCCAYGGCCAACAGCTCCACCTCCATCTGGCTCCGCTGGGAGAAGCCGCGCTTTAGCAATGTACGCATCATCAACTACACGGTGCGCTGCAGCCCGGCAGGAACCACCAACGCATCTCTGGTTACATACCACACCAGGTCAGGGTCCTAAGAAAATTTAAAAATGCATCAACATCTCTTCAATTCAGTGTGACTTTTTTTATCCTCAACAACATGAATGATAAACACAAAAATGGTTCTTACTCAGTAAAGAGTTTCTGCTTGGCCTTCAGAGGAGCAGGATGTGCTTTTTGCTCCCTCTGCCACCCTACCCCGCCCCACCCCCCTTCCCTGCTTTGCTGCTTTTGCTTTTTCAAGCTCTTTTTTCACCTTCCATCCRAAACTAAAGGAATTATGGATTTGGTCAACTGGACTCTGAATGAAATTGACACTTTTTTTTTTCTACACTTGGAATGAGGGGAACGTGGCTGTCTGGATGGAATGGTTGCTGCTGGATTTGTCTGATTCCTGGGGCTGGAATCTGATATGCCACCACCACTTTTCCATTTTTTCTAAGTTACTTGAAAAAAACATTATTTAATCAACTACTTCAGCATCTAGAAGCTAATAATATGCTAAGCAATAGCCAACATGGTTTCCGCACGTCAAGGTCAACATGTCTGCATTAATTTTATTCACTGAACAAATACGTGCTGCTTTGAACAAAGGTCAAGTAACAAGTGCTGTATATATCGATTTTCGTAAAGCGTTCGACACAGTTGATCATTATACTCTCTTACAAAAGCTGATTTCTTTTCAACTTTCATCATCTGCAATACACATRTTTTCCTCTTATTTGACTGAAAGGTGTCAGGTGGTGAAACATGGAAGCTCTGTGTCCGGGTCTCTGCCCTGTTCCGTGGGAGTTCCGCAGGGTAGCATACTGGGCCCATTGCTTTTCCTACTATACATAAATGACYTTCCAAAAMTAATGAAGTATTCAAATATTTTAATGTATGCTGATGATACTGTTCTTTTTTTGTCTGATTTCAATATTGAATCTATTAATAGTCAGTTACAAGCAGATCTTCAGACATTTCATGGTTGGCTTCAAGATAATCTTTTGTCAATTAATGTTAAAAAAACTGTGTGCATGTATTTTTCCTCACCCAGGAGACATTTCAATATAACAAATCAACTCACCTTTTTAAACAAACCCCTTGATATTGTCACTACCAACAAATATCTTGGAATTACTTTGGATTCTCATTTGACTTATCCTGATCATGTACAAGTCTTAACC